TTTAAGATCCTAAATAATTACTGAATTCTACCAAACACTCCATACTTAATATTTTGATAGGTCTGTATCAAAATAACTTAACTAGTAAGTCCTATGGAATGGCAGTCAAGTTTTATCAGAACTGAGGGGCTTGGAGGAAATTGTGCTGGTGGCATGATTGCAGAAAGACGATAGGAAAGTCTTAGCACTCCTAGACTTACATCAAATTTTCCATAGACTGAAACTAAAATGGATTCGTTCAATTACTCAGAGGTAGATAAGTAAAATAAACAACTAATTTCATATAGTGAAGTTGGGAGAGCATCATATGGACCTCATTCTGTTGTCTCCAAACACTTTATTGGAGGGGGAAAAGGAGCTGAATAAACTTTAAACTCTCATGTAGGGATGTATTGCTTGTGTGTCTCTGGCAGATGTGGAAAGGAGATGAAATGGGCAAGGGAGAATCAAATATCCCTTCGCTGCAGGTTTGCTGAGGGAAAGAACACTGCAAAGATCTCACATCTGGCAATCATTTGTCAATAGCTGGAAAGAGAACGGCAGGAAACTTTCTGGCTCTTGGAGAAGATGAAAAGACAAAAACCATGTGTCACACACACAGACTCTCTCTCTCTCTCTCTCTCTCTCTCTCTCTCTCTCTCTCTCTCTCGCTTTCTCTCTTCCTCTTCCTCTCTCTCAGTGTGTCTGCAATAGTACAATGACTACTACATTTATTCTCCACTCTACCCCACCCCCCAAAATTTAATGATCCTCAGATATACTCTACTCCATGGTCAAAAGCATGCAGTCACTTGACTTGCTAAAGCTGCAGTGTATGTACATTTTTCAAATAAACCCCAGGGCTGATGTTAGAAAATCAAAATCAGTCAAGCATAGACCGCCTGGTACTTTGGGCAGGAATCCTTGTGGTTTAGTCAATAAACAGAATCTGAATGAAAGACACCACAGTAACTAGACAGTAATGTTTTGAACAGTTCTTAACCTGAAAGGGCTATGGGGAGGGGTGCAGGGGGGGGAGGGTACACTAGTGACCAAGGACATAAGGCTACCATCCACTTAGAGCTCTCTACCTGCAATATGACTCTGTTTAGCACAGGTCATCCATTATTTCTAACAACAAAAAAAGAAGAGAAAAACAGAAAAAACTAACATTTGTGGGCACGTTGTGAATGAACGTGGGGGAGGGAACAGGTTTAAACATAAATAAATAATTTTACCCTTTTAATAAGGTGGTAAGGGAAACCTCTGATTCTGTTTATTCCAAACTGGTGTTAACAATATAGAGAATTTGCTGGCTTTATTATGAGTTCATAAAAATGATCAGCTTTGCCCCAGTAGGTTTATCATGTAATAAAAAGTTTTCAAGACACCCCATACAAAATTAATTAACTTCTTTAAAACACAAGGATTTAAATCTGCTTGTGGTGATCGATAGACTTCAAGGGGTAGCTTTCAGTTCAACCTTATGCTGCATTTAACTAGCAGCAGCAGCCATGGAGCTCATCCCTGCGATTCCATAAGCGAATGCTGCAGGTTGTTTAATAACCTGGCAAATTCACAGTAGCTTGTCAAATTATTACAGGAACAGTGTCATCACTAAACAAGCCTGATCACGGTTAATTACAATGCAGACCAGAGAGCAGCCACAATTGTTCATTAATTACAGGAAGCACCTCATTTAAATTTTATGGAAATTTACACTTGCACCCCGGTATGTCTGGAAAAAAAAGTGATCCTTCATGCATTCACAGAAGAAAGGAGTCTGTGGTTTATGAAACATCACAGTAAATGGGGTCTAATCTGGTATTGAAATATTGGTTCATTATTTACTCTAATTTTCTAAGCACTTCAGTGGTAATATATATATGTATGTGTGTGTGTGTGTGTGTGTGTGTGTGTATGCACACATACACACACACACACACACATCAAGTCAAACCTCACACACATCTTGAATTCCCAAGCAAGGATAGAACCGTGCAATCCTAACAACTTAATACATGGTGAGGCACAGTTAGATTAAGCAAATTAACTTTTCTTTGATTAAAAATAAAATATTTATCAGCAATTAAGGGAAGCCCAAATTAGAATAACCATTTCCTAAAAGGTAATTGTGTAAGAGCACAATTCAGTGCCAATATACATCAGTTAACCTCCAAAGCTAGGGGGCACCCAGTTGCATATCTACTTCAAAAGCCACTGAGGAAAATGAACAAAACTAGATGGTGACTTGAAATCTTGATTATACCTGTTCAAAAATGAAACATATTAATCCAAAAACACAGGAGATACTCTTGCAAAAATCAAGCCAGTCACAGACATAAGGATGACAGTAATTCAAAACCAAAAGTATATACTGAGTACAGTGTTGGTAACCTTGGGATTATTAGATCACAAAGCTACTCATTAATTGAAATTTTATAGGGATAAAGAGGCAAAGATTTCAAAAGAAGGAAAGAGCAGGAAAAGACTTCACCAGTAATAAGAACTCATGTAAACTGAAGTATTAAACTGAACCATACATATAGGAGGGTGTGTCTGAATGAGAATGCTTGGTAAGGAAGTAAATATAAATAAAATCATTGCTCCTAAATTGAGTAGTATGGAGGTTATTCTCAGAATCAAGAGGCCAAACAGTAAATCCACTAGTGGTAACAATGTCTGGCCCTGGAGAGAAGTCTGACATCTAAGTAAGAAAAGTAGATAACTTTACAGTGAGTTTCCTGGAGTGTAGAGTTAGATTAAGAAATAAGAAATGGGTTTGTTTCCTCATGTGGACACACACACACACACACACACACACACACACACACACACACACACACACACACACACACACACACACACACACACACACACACACACACACACACACACGGCAAGAATAATAAGAGATCAAGCTAAAAAAGACTTTTGGAACTGATAGTAAAGAATATAAAGTTCTAAGTTTACTAGGACTGATAAAATAGGTATGTACTACAAGTTTTTAAATGGAAACATGTTTAAGGAAGAATAGGAAAAACAGGAAGAAAAGAGGAAGAAAAGATTGCAATGGATTCTAGTTGATTCACCTATTCACCTTAGTAGACGATTTTTTTTAACTGACTGAATCTTTCCCCTCAGTCTACCAAAATAGATTTAATAAAAGGAGAAACCCAAAGCTAGGCACCTGTGGCTCACACCTGTAATCCTAGCTACTCAGGAGGCTGAGATCTGAAGATCCAATTCCAAGCAGCCAGGGCAGCAAAATCCATTAGGCTCTTACCTCCAATTCATCACAGCAAAGGCCCAAAGTGGCACTGTGGCTCAAGTGGTAGAGTGCTAACCTTGAGCAAAAGGAGCTCAAGGATAGTGTACAGGCCCAGAGTTCAAGCCCCAGGCCCTGAAAGGGGAAAAAAAGGAGAAACCCAAAAATATATTTATACCATTTTCATTACCTTGCTCTTCTTTACAAGGCCCATGCTGATTTGTTAACTACACTATCTAGTTATCTACAACCAGAATCCTACTTAAAACTTGTATCTTTCTCCTTTATTTCAGGATAATGTGCTCATTAGATCTTTTTTAGTATTTTTTTCTTTTTCAGTTTTATCTCACACATACTCACATCTGCAAAATCCATTCTCTTTACACCAAGACTCAAGTTCAAAAAACCAGATTATCCAACAATCACCCATAGCAAACCATTCCAGGTGATGTGTTTGAAGAACATTACTCGCCTTCCTAAAGAGGTCAAGGATCAGGCTCCTCCCCAGGAAAACTCCTCAATCACCCTGTATTTACGTGTCACACACAAGCTGTTAGCTTTCTAGAACCAGGAAATACATGATCATGTGTCATATGTGTCACACCTGCTTTTCTATTGTATCATAGCCATACACCCCCCAGACAGTACCAGCTTGGGACACAGTAGAGCTCAGGTGGTCTTTCCTAGGCCAAGAGCAGGTGTGCAAAGGATGATGCACCCTTCAGTACCATAAAAACTGAAATCTCCCCCTGCAACCACCTTCCACCCTCATTCACACAGTGAAGAAGTCAATTTTAAAAACTGTTCTCTCTCTTCTCATGTGGCATACCTAAATCAATAAAATGTTTTAAGATTGAGTTCACTGTGCTCAACCCATATGCCTAAAAATTTTAAAAATGATGCCAAATGGAGGAGCTAGAAAAAAATGAGTTTAATCATTTTATGTTGAAGATGAATGTTCAGCCTGTTATCTTTGCAATGGCATACACATTCCTCAAAAATTAAAGATTACACAGAAGAGGAGACATGCCTCCAATATTGTCATGTTATATTTCCAATTTGCAACATACGAGCCTCTTTCTGAAACCCAAGTCAACATTTTCAGGAAGAAAGTATTCTGCACACATCTCCCAATGCACTGAAAAAAACAAAACAAAAAACAATAAAACAAAAAACTTCTCATTAGGCACTAGTTTTCTTATGAAGTGCCTACTGAACAGCTGCATTTTTACTGATTTGAAAGATCATAATGTGAGAAACATGGCTAACTGTCATACTGCCCATGTGCCTAGCACAGTGCTCAGTACATAACCATGACAATTGGAAGAGATGCGAGGGCTAATAGCTATTGAATGCTTTTTATGTTCCAGGCCCCACGCTATTAGATATGTTAGTTCATTTAATCCTCATGCCACCTTTTGTGATAAATCTCCATTATACAGATGAGAAAATTAAGAGTAAGTTAGGTTGATTTATTTGTCAAGTGTCATGGCAACTTCTGTAAACCTAGACAGCAAATCTTCATTTTTCCCATATAGAATATATCTTCAGAATTAATAAGCCATGAATGACCTCTAGGTACAGACTACATATACTAAAAAGGGAGTTTAGCTGCATATGTGGTATATTTGTTTTTCTTTACACCTGTCTTAATGGTTGCCTTGTCCTGATAGTACAATAACACCAATATGTACTTCTAGGACCACTGTTTCTGCCATACCACCCCCAGCTGATAAAACAGTAAGACTCCAACCTGGACTTCCAGCCTCTGGTCTGGTTCCTCCAGGTTTGGGCAAAAGTCTGCACCCAGCACTCTGCCAGCACATGCCAGTGGTACCTGAGGGAATATGGCTGGGTTAGACGCTGGGTATGGAGGCCACTGAGAACTGTATGCAGTCATACTTGAACCAGGTAGGAAGCAGGGACATCCCAGACTATAGGTCTGAAACAGGTCTGATAACCTGACATGTATTTGACTCTTGGTCTGTCAACAAATACATTATGGATATCATACAACCTAATTTATTAATTATAAGAAGAAGTGCAAGAAAAGATCTATGTGATCTTCACTATTACATTCATATCATGCAACACAAAAAATACATTAAATCTCTACAAAGAAAGTTATAAAGGACAGAAATAAGGTAAGAGAAAATAATTGGAATGTAATACTCTGAATGTCCCTCTCCCTCTCCTCTCATATGCTCACCTTTCTCTTTGGAGGCAGAAACTCACTACGTAGCCCAGTGGGCATCAAACTTGTGATCCTCCTCCTCCTAGTTTTGGAATTACGAGTGTAAAAACCACACCTCGTTTACAATACACAATCCTTAGTGGATATTGATGACACATCCTTTTCCCTCTGTTGTTCAAATGCCTTAGATGAGAATTACACAAATTGAATTTTTTGATAGCTAAAGATCTTTTCATCCTTTAAAATAACTGTTGAAATTAATTTTTCTTGTTATTGATATATGTAGGATAGTATAAGCAGGCTTTATCAATATTTATTTACTTATATACATGGTTTTTGTTTCTTTGTGTTTTTTCCCTGTGTTTGTTTTTGTTTTTGGTGCCAGAGACCAAACCTAGGGCCTGGCACATGCTAGGTATAGGCATGTGTTCTGCCACTAAATAAATCCACCAGTTCCCCATGCTTACTATGCTTAAAGTATAAAGTTTTTATGTTTTGTATACATGTTTGGATAGTAAAAACAAAAGTTATAATTTAGTGGCCATTTTTCTATAACTAAAATTCTACTACACTGGAAGTCTACTGAAAGATCTTTTTCTAGAAGGATACCTTATCAACATAAAAAGTATAAGTTACCTATATTTATTTAAATCTATTTAAACTTTTCAATGTTTTCATTAGGGCGCTGTGGATGTAGATCTGTAGGGAGTGCTTGGATCGCATGTGGAAGGCTCTGGATTCAGTTTATAGCACCATGAATAAATTAGTTAATAAATTAATTTCTCTAATTGTTATTCCTTATTTGCAAACATATACTATCCTGCCAATCATATTGTCTCCCTAGATGCTCCTAAATCTCAATCCATCAACTATGTGACATCTTACCTATATCTCTTTCTTTACCAAAGCATTCCTTTGGTGTTTTGATTTTTTTTTATTCCAGTTAAGATCATCTGTACTAATCAATTCCCTTTGTTCAGATGAATTTTTACCCAAATCTACTGCGTTAATTGTTTTGCTCTTTCTTTTGACTCAAAATTCACTATCCAATATTTAAACAATTTTCAGTAAATTAAGCTGGACACTAGTGAATATCACTAACTGAAAAAAGGTACTCAGTCAAGTTCCCAAACATTTTCAGATCACAGACTGCTCTTTAAATCTCTCATTCTTCCATCCAGCCTACACCCTCAAGGTGAAATAGGTAGAATATATCATCAGACCTTCTAGTTAATAACTGCTCCTTCCCTATGAATTTCATCAATAAAGTTCCATGTGACAGTAAGCATGTAGACATCTTATATACAGATTTAACCCATCTTTTTCCCCCTCATGGTCTTAAAATATCCCCATTTCTTGTGCAATACCTAAGGCTTAGAATAGAATAGATAAGCAGCTCAGACTTATACGCTATTAAGTTATAAAGCCAATATTCAAATTTAAGAAATGAGAAAAGAAAGATTGAGAGGAATAAAGTAATTTTATTTCATTTTTACTTTTGTGCTGGTACTAGGGCTTGAACTCAGTATCTGGGCTCTATCTCTTGGCTTTTTCTCTCAAGGCTGGCACTTTACCACTTGAGGCACAGTTCTACTTCTGGCTTCTTTCCTTTTTTCCTTATACGAGATAAAAGAGCCTCAAGGACTTTCCTGCTCAGGGTGGTTTTAAATAATAATGGTTCAGATCTCAGCCTCCTGAGTAGCTAGGATTATAGGCATAAGGCACTGGCACCCAGTCTAAGAAACTAATTTTTTTTTCAATTCTAACTATATTTAGTGGCATACAACTCTAAAGACATTTGTTGATATTACATATGAAAAGTATTTTTAAAACAAGAGAAGGCTGGGAAGGTGGCTCAAGGGTAGAGAGCTTGCCTTGCATGCATGAGGCTCTGGGTTTGATTCCTCAGCACCACATAAGCTGAAAAAGCCAGAAGTGGTACTGTGGCTCAGGTGGTAGGGCGCTAGCCTTGAGCTGAAGAGCTGAGGTTTAGTGCCCAGGCCCAGAGTTCAAGTCCCACGACCAGCAAAAAAAAAAAAAAAAAAAAACAGAGAAAGCAGAACCTATTATTTGAGATTTAGTTTAGTACTGTACAAACAATATAAATGAAAATTAGCTACATTGAGGAATAACAAGAGATATTACAAATGTCTTGAATCACACATGTAGATAACATTGAATCTATTTCTCAATTGACATATAGAGGGCCACTAATGAGCTCTGTAACAGTAATTCCTATAAGGGGTGATAAAGGAAAAGGGAACCATTCTTAGAATATTCCATATTGAAATGAAGCTTTTTATACAATTTCAGCAAGTGTGAGTATTTAACTAACTAAAGCAGATTCCATGAGCTGGAATGTACATATGGCAAATTGTACATAAACAATACCTTATTTTGTATACACAAAACAAATTCCTACTTACCTTAATATTATTTGACTATGTCATAAATACTATGTTCCTAGCTCCTTTTATCCTTGTAGTCACAAAATGCACTTTATAAACACTCTCAAGAGGAAAAGAGAAAGTTAAACAACTACAATTACATTCAATTACAACTTCAGACACTTAGAAATAATACAGTTTCTGAGGGAAAAATAAAAGGTCTGTGAGTACATTGGAGAGGAAAACAGTGGCAAGCTACCAGTTTGTTACAACAATTCTAATCACAAAAAAGAAACTAGTACGGAAGTGGGTGGCACTTTCAAGCTTAGAATCCCAGAATTTCTAAGCAGAAAAAAACAATAAGCAAGGATTCATGAAAATAGATTCATATTTTATAGATGAGCAAATTGAGAATCAACACAATCTGCATAGCTCACTAATAAATTATAGTCTAACACTATCCAACACCCCTAGCACAAACACTAGAATCAGTGTTTTCAATTCTGTCAAATGATTATTTAAAAAAGCAAGCTATATCTAGGACATAAAAATTAAAATTCAAATTAGTTGTGATTTGGTACATCTTATTCTGCCTTTTGGTTTAAAAATATCAAGAAGTTAGCTAGCTACTTATAAGCAGTTAAAAAAATTGACTGAGGACTGGAAATGTGGCTTAGTGGTAGGATGCTTGCCAAGCATTCATTTGATGGTTTGATTCCACAGTGCCACATAAACAGAAAAAGCCAGAAGTGGCACTGTGGCTCAAGTGGTAGAATGCTGGCCTTGAGCAAAAAAAGCACAGGGACAGTGCCCAGGCCCTGAGTTCAAGCCCCAGAACTGGCAAAAAAACAAAAAAGACATAAACAGAAGACATAAATTGTCTACTTCCTTATAATTACTTCACTAAAAAATTAAGATAATAAAATATGGTTGCAAACCTTACCAGTGTATGAAATAAAGATTTTAAGCTGATTGGGAGGATTCTACTTTATCCACCTACCTTCAAAATGGCAATCACTGTCTGTTTCAATGCTATATTCAAAGACAAAGCTAATGGTTTTCACAAAATGTTGAGTGATTTATGATTGTGTGGCCTTGTCATTTTTATTCTTTTTGCATCATTGTATGTTTTGCTTTTAGAGACATAAATACTTCAGTTAAAGAAAAAAATGGTGAACTGATTAGCTAATGTTTCTAAACATTATGCCACAGGTTTCATGATGGGATGATAACTGTCTAGAACTGACAGATTTCATCCTGCTAGTGGTGTAACAGGAAGCAGACAAGCCTTGCAAGGGACCCTGAGGAATCCCCAGGGTGAGCTGAAGCTGAGTGCCTATCTCCTCTCCTGTACATACCTCAGAGGAATCATGGTGTGTGAGAGAGCTATTTACAACTTACTTTGTGTATAATCAGCAGAAACAAAAGATATGACAACGAGAATAAAGGCCTCTCTCTCTCTCTCCTCTCAGGAGAATTCAGCAAGGGCGGGCTAGCGGGCATTCACTTCAGTGTCAAAAGGGCTTCCAGAAAACACATTTTCTATGGGATAGGGAGGAAATGTGGCAAGCTTCCTATTCACATGCACTTGAGTACACACGCACGTGCACGCACACACCACACACACACACACACACACACTTGTTCTGTTTACCAAGATCACAGATAAATACAGTTAAGCACTAGACCTCTGAAAAGACTGAAAAAGCCCCAAATTGCAAAAAGGAGCTATAGTTCAAATACCAGAAGCGAATGGGTGTGGTAAGTGGGTAGAAGGCAGAGAACAAAGGAAGAACACAGAGGCATAAAAATGATAGCTTGACAAGAGGAACAACATTACCCAAAAAGGGGGCTTAGAAAGCCAGGGATACTTCTTGTATAATTGGTGTCCATCAGAAATTTAATTTTACTTTTTACATATTAAACATTCAAAAAGGGTTCTGCCTAGTAGACAGTATGAAAGTTATAGCCCAAATAAACAAACTAATTTCTCTTCAGTTAAGCTGGCCACATGCCAGGATCAGTTCTGAAGTATACCATATACTATATGTGTTTCAGTGATTTCTCATGTAGTAATGTTGAAGGGACAAGGAAAATGATCTGAAGAACTTGGAGAACAATAAATATGTAAAACTGCCTTTGAAAAACAGAAAGAAGAGAGAATGGAGAGTGGGGTTGAAGGATATGCTATAAGGAGACTCAGGAATATAGCTGGGCATAAGAACTGTCACATCCTAAGTCAGAGGGAAGTACTAA